TCGATGTGTTTGGTTCTATCATGCTGCACTGGGTTGTTGGCGATACTGATAGCTGACTTCTTGTCACACCATAACTTTATCTTAGCTCTTGATCCAGCTTCAGCTCAACCAGCATACTCTTCAACCATAACAACTCAGCAACTCCTAAGGCCATAGCTCTATACTCTGCCTCAGCAGTTGATCTCGCCACCATTGATTGCTTCTTGCTCTTCCACGAGACTAAGTTGCCTCCTATAAAGATGCAGTATCCCGAGGTGGACCTCCTGTCATTAGCACAGCTAGCCCAATCAGAGTCGCAATAACCCTCGATGCTCACATGTCCATTTTTCCTGAATATCAGTCCCTTTCCAGGGGCACTCTTCAGATATCTCAGAATCTGGTACACAGCATCCATATGACCCTTCCTTGGATCATGCATGTAGCGGCTCACCACGCTCACTGCAAAAGAGATATCGGGACGTGTGTGACTCAGATAGATCAACCTCCCTACCAGCCTTTGGTATCTGTCACGATCAACTGGTTCTCCAGCCTCAGCACCCAGCTTGAACTTCTGGTCGATCGGTGTAGTTGCAGGTTTACACCCTAACATCCCCGTCTCTTTAAGAAGATCCAGTGCATACTTTCTCTGGGATAAGACAATCCCCTCCGCTCCGCGAGCTATTTCTATTCCAAGAAAGTATCGAAGCAAGCCAAGATCTTTCACCTCGAACTCCTTACCCAGTCTCACTTTGAGTTTGGCAATCTCCTCCTCATCATCCCCTGTAATGATCATATCATCCACATATACCGCAAGCACAGTGATGTGACCTTCATTTCGTCGGAAGAACACGGTATGATCAGCGTTAATCTGCCGGTATCCCATACCTATCATAGCCCGCCTAAATCTGTCGAACCAAGCACGAGGAGATTGTTTCAGGCCATATAGAGACTTCTTCAATCTGCAGACCTTGCCCACTGTCTGTTCTGTGTTGAATCCTGGCGGAATTTCCATGTATACCTCTTCCACCAGATCTCCATGAAGAAATGCATTCTTCACATCTAATTGGTGTAGCTTCCATCCACCATTTACTGCCAGAGAGATCAAGGTTCGAACAGTGCTCATCTTCGCCACTGGTGCAAAAGTCTCATCATAGTCGATGCCGTATGTCTGACTATATCCTTTTGCCACCAGACGAGCTTTGTAGCGCTCAACCTGTCCATCTGGATTCTGCTTCACAGTGAAGACCCACTTGCATCCAACTGCTCTCTTCCCTTTTGGTAGTTTTACTAACTCCCAAGTGCGGTTCTTCTCAAGGGCCCCTAGCTCTTCGTGCATAGCAGCTTTCCATTTCTGGTCCTTCTTTGCAACCTGCCAATTGTTAGGAATAGTAACAGAGTCCAGAGATGCAATGAATGCTCCATGTGCAGGGTGGATGTTAGAATATGATACAAACTGAGCAAGATCCCAACCATATCTATCGGGAGGATTTCCCGCATTACTGCGAGTAGTCCTCCGTACAGTTATTGGTGTGGGAGGAATAGGAAGAGAAATGGAGTCACCTTGAGAGGAATCTTGTGGTGGTGTAGGTGTCTCAGGAGTCGGTTCAGGCGTTGGCAAGGGACTTGGCACCAGTGGCACTGTAGGTACTGTTGGTACTGTTCCCGCAATTTGTTTCCCCTTCCTACTATAGGTAAGTAGTTCTCCCTGAGCCGTTGGCCTAACACCTCTTGTCTCAATCTCCTCTTCATCTTCATTCTCTTGCTCCTCCTCAACCAAGTCTCCTTCCCAAGGAATCATTACAGAAATTGATTTTTCTGATCTCTCACCATTCTCAGACATTGATTTCTCCACATTCACCAATCTCTCACCATTCTCCTCCTCTCGCCGCATACTTCCAGTATTAGGCGAGTTATCAACGGATGAAGTTACCTTCCGGGTGTAATATGGCTCGAGTTCTCGAAAGTGCACATCCATACTCACAAACAACCTTTTCTCCACCGGGCTCCAGCAAACATAGCCCTTCTGAGTAGCAGAATATCCCACAAAAATACATTTCACCGCTCTAGGGGCAAGCTTCCCGACTGATGGCCTGTTGTCTTTCACAAAGCACACACAGCCAAACACCTTGAGTGGAAGAAGCCCACCATTATCTCCCTTCAACAACTCACACGGAGACTTCCAATCCAGCACTCTCGAGGGCATTCTGTTGATTAGTGCTGCCGCGGTCAACACTGCTTGTCCCCATAATGTTTCTGGGACATTCATAGAGATCATCATACTTCTAGCAACCTCTAAAAGATGTCTATTCTTTCTTTCCGCTACTCCATTTTGAGCAGGTGTGTATGGACACGTAGTCTGGTGTTGTATTCCCTGAGCTGACAAGTATTCCCCAAACGTTTTGTTAGTATACTCTGTCCCATTATCAGATCTTAATACCTTCACCACAGCGCCGTATTGAGTCTGAGCATACCTATGAAAATTTTAAAAGCAACCAAACACTTCACTCTTATTTTTCATCAGGTACAACCAAGTAACGCGGGAGAAACAATCAATAAAAGTAACAAAATACTTGTATCCATTCATAGAACTTGTAGAACAAGGTCCCCAAACATCTGAATGTATCAGTTCGAATACACGAGAACTCCTATGACCAGAACTTACGTAAGAACTTCTAGTAAGTTTTCCAAGCTCACATGCATCACATACAAGGTGCTGCTTATTTGCTTTCTCAAATAGAGATGGATACAACCTACTTAAAACATTAAAAGATGAGTGTCCCAAACGCTGGTGATGAAGCATCAACACACTCTCAGCACTCATCTCAGATCCTACTTCTGCTCTCTCTATCATTGACACCAATGCTGAATCCAGTCCTTCACGATCCAGATACCACAGTCCACTACGCCATGTGCCAGTCCCAAGTCTCCGCCCTGTCCCCTTCTCCTGAAAGATCACCTTGGGAATATCAAAAGAAACAATACATTTTAGTTGAAGGATGATAGCACTAATGGATAAAAGGTTGACTGGAAAGGAAGGAGCATGCAAAACATTGGACAAAGTTACTGAACCAGTACAATCAACTATACCCTTACCAACCACAGGCTGAAATGTACCATCAGCTGTTTGAATACTATCAGGCGATGCTAGGTGAGTATATGATGAGAACTCACTAGCATTACCTGTCACATGTCGAGACGCACCGGAGTCGACTATCTATTCTGATGATTTGTCGGAAGATATGGAAGCAAGAGCATGTATGTCATCAGTACCTTTGGTCGGATGAGTATAGGTAGCAGTGTTGCCTCTGGCGAAGAATGATGTGGATGCCTCCTCTGTCCCACTCCTCCTGTCTCCATCCCCTGCTACTTGCTGCTTCCTCCTGAGTATCACCAGGAGCGCCTGATCCTCCTCAGTAAAGATCACCTCAGCTTCTTCTCCTCCTTCTGCTATCATCAGATTCGCCCGGTTGCCTGCTCCCCTTCCACCTCGTCGACCCCCACGGCCACGACCACGCCCTCCGAACTGTCCACGCCCACCCGAATCTCCTTCCTTGGGTGGTTTGGTGCAAGCATGCCTTAGATGACCCACTTCACCGCAGTTGTAGCACTGCCGAGTCTCTCCCCTGGATCCATTATTGTTAGATGCTGCTAAAGCTGACTTCACCACAGGAAGTCCACCTATCCCCGCCTGCAGCTTAATGCGAGTCTCCTCCTGGATCATAGCCGAGACAGCCTCCTCAAGCGAGGGAATTTTCGGCTGAGCTAGCAGTAATGCAATTCGCTGAGCGAACTCTGATGTCAATCCCTTAAGAAACACCATAGTCCTCTCCTGTAGAAAGGCCTCCCGCTCTTTACATCCTGGGTCCTTGCAGCTCGCCCGGGGGGAAAAATGATCATAATCCAGCCACAGACGCTCCAGCTCTGTAGCATATTCTTGTACAGTCCTCTCTCCCTGGACTGTGGCGTCAATCTCTCCTTTAATCTGGAACACCCTCAGGTTATTCCCCACTCCATCATGTCCTCCTCAACTTCTCCCAGACGTCCTTCACCTTCTCAATGTCATCTACTGTGGCGGCGATCGTCGGGACCAACGAGTTGAGAAGCCAGATGTACACCAACATATGAGTGGACTTCCACTCATCCCGTCCTCCCGAGTCCTCATCCGGTTCTGTCTTTTTCTCCAGTCAAGTACCCCTCCAGGTTCCTCCCTGCAAGGGTGTATCTCACCCGTCGTGACCAACTCAGGTAAGTACTCGGTCCATCAAGCTTCAGATCGATGGTCGGAAGCTCCAACTTCTTCGATGGTCTTGTCGTGCTTTCATCAGCCGACAACTTCATCAACTTCATCAAAGTTGACACCTCCGCAGGGTTCAACTTCTTGATGATCTCCTCCATCGATCAAGCTTCAGATCCAACACCTGTTCTCCAAACCCTTGTTGTGCGCAGTGAAAAATTTCGGCAGCACTTTTGCTGCACAACAAGAGTAAGATCTTTCAACAAATTCTCGTTTCTCAGAGGAAACTAGAATAAAAAAACAGTGATATATCTCATCGCTGTGAGATATATACTCTTCCTGTCATCAGTTCGAGGACTGAGTCGAGGGAACCAATGTCAAACTCTAGGTCCAGCATGGTGCGGCAGGGGGTACGAGGTGGCAGCGGCTAGAGGGGGGGTTTGGAGGGGTTCGGGTGTGGGCAGCTCTGATACCAAGTTGATAATACAAACCCTAACCCTATTATGAGATCTCTTGGGCTTATATAGGCCCTACACAACTTACACATAACCCCCTACATATATTACTAATGTCAACAAAAACAAAACAATGTAAATACTAAGATATAAGATAATATTCCTATATTATTGTAAGAATAAATTAGATGGCCTTTAAGAATGGATAAGCCACTCCATCATGTTGCTAAAAGTAAACAAACAATTAGCCAATATGAGAATCAACATACAAAATATCAGATTAGATAAATATTAAAAAACAGAAAGAAGAACTGCTAGAAGTAATTCAATACCGGAGAAGTGTGAACCCAGTGGTTATTCCTCCAGATGTGGCAGGGTCTCAATAGCGTGTCATCAAGCACCACTTCCTTATCCTGATGCTTGTATTTAACAATGTATCGGGACTCAGGAAGTATTTCTAAAACGACCCCAGTAAACCAGCCATCCTGTTGGAATCCCTCAACCTCATCTAGCACATTGAAATGAGTATGAACTGCTATGTGGGGACAAGGCCTAAGATATTGTATGTCAACAATCTCTTTCAGTGGATTTTCTGTAGAATTGTCACTATCTACTTTAAGCTTCTCGTACTCCACCAAGAAATTCGTCTTCCCTATGACCTTTAGAATATTTCCAACAAACCAAGCTGCTCCAAAATTCTCTTCATCACGGCTAACTTCTACTCTTGTGCCCTGAACAAATGTCGCATCGCGTCCTTCCTACAAAAGAAAATTACAAAATATATATCACTCAATAGACATGATTCATGAAGAAGGGTCCAAAAGCAGATAGCATATATAGGCTGATGGTTAAGGACAGGGTACAAGCACGATATTTTTAATATTTGAAAAGATGGATAGAATTCGAGTAAAAAAAATCTATGTATTCTATGCACATTTTTACTAAAGTCATGTTTTCATTGTTGCATGGAATCACAAATAAGGTAGGTTTACTCTGTTCACCACTGATTCTATAGCTAGCCTGCCAAGATGACTAGAATACGGTAGGAGAAGGTTACACAAAGACGCTCAGAATGACCACGTGAAACTTATTTTAATAGGGAATTCACGAAAAATAGTGAGAATGTTTACCCTATTTGCCATTGATTCTGTAGCTAGCCTGCCAAGATGATTAGAACAATAGTTATATTTTCATTGTTGCATTAAATAATAAATAAGGTAGGTTTACTCTGTTTACCACTGATTCTATAGCTAGCCTTCCGAGATGATTAGAATATGGTAGGAGAAGGTTACACAAAGACACTCAGAATGACCATGTGAAACTTATTTTTATAGGTAAGTCAAGAACAATAGAGAGAAGCTACCATCTTAGTCACCTACCATTAGAAGACAGCAAAGGATTTGTATTGCTGTTTACTGAAAATAATTAACAAGAGGAAGTGAGTACAGGAAGGCAGCCAAGTCAACTTTTAAGTGAAATAACGGAAAAATTTGTGCAACTATTGATTACTAAACAGAACATCAGCATGCAAAGATTTCGTATTTGGATGTGTACTATATTCTATAGAGAAATCATTTGGTAATAGTACCAATATAGCCATTGTGTTAAAACAAAATTAGAGGACAATGAAAAAGTATATGTTTGAAGGTTTTATTGCCTTGTATGTATGTATGTGTATGCGTATGTATGTGTGTGTGAACGTGTGGGGGCCACACCCACGTGAGAAAAATCTCGCGGAGGCCAATCTCGTTGGGGGCCTCACTCATGTGAACAACTGTGAACGTGGGGGCCACAATTGTTGGGGGTGTGAATGTCTCGGAGGTCTTCCAGCAGATGGGTTCGGGGTTGTTTTTTGGCCCTGTTTCTTTCCTATAAATAGGAGCTTGTGTACCTAGGGTTTTGTGTGGAAAAAACGGCAGAGGATTAGTCGGCTACAGGTGAAGAAAAACAGAGGAAAAAAGAGGGTTTTTGGCGGCAGCTTAGAGGAGAAAACAGAGAGTTTTTCAGATCTAAAAGAGAGATCTTGAGGAGAACAAAAAGAGAGCTTAGAGAGATTTTATAAGAAAGATGTCAATTTCTTTTGGGTAAAAATTATAGCTTGAACTTTGAGACGAGCTTGTGGATTGTACAAGTCGTCGATGTTCTTATTCATAGTGGAATTTCCCCTCACACCCTCCCGTGGACATAGGTAATTTTGCCGAACCACGTAAATCTCGTGTCTTTACTATTTTCTGGATGTTGGGTATTGCTTGTAGGTTCCCTCGACAAATCAGTCCTAGAACTGATGAGGGGAAGAGTGTATATTTCACTTTGTTGAGATATTTTATTTTCTATTCTTGTTTTCTTTGTGAAACGAGAATATAGAGGTTAGCTTGATCTTTTGTGAAAGTAAAAGTCAGGGCTTTCTCTCGGGTTATATCGCTTTCGCGGCGTGAGGGCGTGACTCTGCGCCCAACAATTGGTATCAGAGATGTTATTCAGATTGAGAGTGGTGTAGCTTCTGGTTTGAGGTAGTGCTCGGTAATTTCCTGAGAGAAGCGGATTTATTAATACAAGCGGAGGATGGCGCCAACTAGAAAAACAGTTAAAGTTAGAAAGTACGAGATCGAAAAGTTCAATGGGAAGAATGATTTTTCCTATTGGAGGAGTTAAAGTTAGAAAGTACGAGATCGAAAAGTTCAATGGGAAGAATGATTTTTCCTATTGGAGGATGCAGATGAAAAACTCAAGTTCAATGGGAAGAATGATTTTTCCTATTGGAGGATGCAGATGAAAAACTCGTTGATTTCGCAAAAAATACACAAAACTTTGGATGGAAAAGAGAAGAAACATAAGGATATGTCTGATGAGGATTGGAAGGAGCTGGATCTGAAAGCACGGGTGTCGATTATCCTTTATCTTGAAAAGGATGTAGCTTTCTTAGTAGATGGAGAGGAAACGCTGTGAACGTGTGGTCGAAGTTAGAAAACACATTCATGACGAAGAGTCTAACAAACCGAATTAATTTAAAATTCAAATTGTATACTTACAAGATGGAGTAGGGCTCATCAATTTGGGAATACATCAACAAGTTTGATAGGATCATATCAGACTTTAAGGACATAGATGTGACAGTTGAAGATAAGGATCATGCGTTTCTACTACTTCTATCTCTGCCGAAGTCTTATGAGAACCTGATGCAAACACTGATGCTTGTGGGAGATAATTTGACGATGGATGAGACTAGAATGGCGCTTCTAATGGATGACCTTCGGAAGATTGCAACCATTGACATGACTACTGGTGGTAGCAAAGAACAAACGCAGTGATTGTTTGCTAGAGGAAGGAGCAATGAGAGACGAAAAGACAAGGAAGGAATGCCTAGATCTAAATCAAGACCTCTTGTGGGAAGAACGTGTTTCAAATGTCATTTCAAGGTCGACTGTCCAAATAAAAGAGTAGGTGGGAAGCAGAACAACAACAAGACTGAGAGGAGAGAAAGCAAGGAAGAAGCGAACTATGTTTTAGAAGAAAAAAGCGAGAAGGAATGCTATGTCGTCACGGGTAGCAAGGATATCTCCGAGAAGTGGATTCTTGATTCGGGTTGCTCTTATCACATGTGCCCAAATAGGAAGTGGTTTACTACCTACAGAAACATTAATGGTGGAACCGTATTGATGGGGAACAACCATGCTTGTAAAACGATGAAGATAAGTAATATCAAGATCAAGATGCATAATGGAGTGGTCTGAACCTTGATGGATGTGAGACACATTCCCGACTTACGAAAGAATCTTATCTCAGTTGGTGTTTTAGACTCCGACGGTTGCAGGATTGTTACGGAGAACGGAGTGAAGAAGATTGTTCGAGGTTCTCTTGTAGTGATGAAGGGTGTTCGTTACAGTAATTTATATACTCTTTCAGGTACGACGGTGACAAGAGATAGAACTGAAGGAAGTGGTGGAGACGCATGTGAGTACACACGGTTATGACATAGACGGCTTGGGCACATGTCAGAGAAGGGTCTAGTTCTGCTTGGTAAGGAGGGTCTGCTGAAGAATCTAAAAAAAAAAACCTTGCATGGACTTTTGCAAGGATTGTGTGTACGGAAAGACGCACAGGATCCAGTTTCTGAGAAGCAAGTCTAAGAACAGAGGGATACTAGATTATGTGCATACGGATATTTAGGGTCCGGCTCAAATAACTTCCAAAAGGGATACTAGATTATGTGCACACGGATATTTAGGGTCCGACTCAAATAACTTCTAAAGAGGGTTCCAGATATTTCGTCTCGTTCATAGATGATTATTCGAGGTATGCTTGGATTTATTTTCTAAAGCATAAGAATGAGGTGTTCGAGACATTTCATAGATGATTATTCGAGGTATGCTTGGATTTATTTTCTAAAGCATAAGAATGAGGTGTTCGAGACATTCAAGAAGTGGAAGTCGAGGTATGCTTGGATTTATTTTCTAAAGCATAAGAATGAGGTGTTCGAGACATTCAAGAAGTGGAAGGCGATGATTGAGAACATGACATGGAAGAAATTGAAGACGTTAAGATCTGACAATGGTACAAAATACTCAAATGGTGTCTTCAATGAGTTCTATGATCATGAGGGCATTGTTCGATACTGGCCAGTCAGGTCAACACCATAGCAGAATGGGGTCACGGAGAGCCTGAATCGAACATTACGGGAGAAAATAATGAGTATGCAATCTTATGTTGGATTGGACAATGAATGGTGGGCAGAAGCGATGGCTACAGCTTGTTATATTGTGAACTGTTCTTCACATTCTATATTAGATGGTGATACATCTTATAGGGTGTGGTCAGGAGAGTATGCAGATTATGAGAGGCTCCGAATTTTCGGGTTTACCGCCTATATTCACGTCAACGAGGGAAAGCTTGACGCGAGGGCTGAAAAAGCTATATTCTTAGGATATGCAAATGGTGTAAAAGACTACCGTCTTTGGTATACAGAAGATTCGAAGTTCGTGATCAGCAGGGATGTTACCTTTGATGAGAAATTCATGATTGCTAAGGCGCCCAAGGATGATGGTGTTAGGACTGTTGGGACTTCAAAGTCCAGGTTATTAAGATAGAACCTAAAGACCAATCAGGTTCTAGTCAAGTTCAAGTGAGAAATCAGGTAGATGATGAGCTTGAACAGGAGGAGGTTCAGCAATACAAACACTACAACAACAGCTCGAGGATAGTTTGGCTTTCACTGTGCCAAAACGAGCATACAAGTAGGTACTGGAGCTGAGGGCTGATCAACCCCTGAAGCACTATGGGCAGGTTAATTTGGTGGAATACGCACTCTCAGTGGAGAAAAATGATCCGGTCTCCTTCAAGAAAGCTATTCGGAACAAGAATAATGAGAGTTGGTTGGATGCGATGGAGGAGAAGATGAAATCTCTTCGAAAGAACCAAACATGGGAGGTGGTCTCATTACCCATAGAAAAAAAAAGTTATTGGTTATAAGTGGGTGTATAAGAGAAAGAAAGATCCTTCAAAGCTCTGTGTGTGTGCGTATTGTGCATCAGATTGTGTGATTAACTACTGATAGGAAAAAGTTGGACATGATTGCATTGACAAAAAACTGGGCTCCGAGGTCATGTTCTACATTACCAATTCTGTTGTACACGTTCTTGAGCTGAAGTATGACATTACAATAATTTAAAGACTTGTCATTTGCATCGAGTGGATTTGCTATCGTTCCTCTTTAAGCTTAATCATTTTTTGATTCTTAAATAATAGGTGAGGAGTCCACAAATTGAGTTGATAACTTTTGTGGAATGTGGGTCACTGCCAATTACTATGTACCCAACAAAGCTGAGTCACACCAGTCACGTCAAGGAAGTAGGGAACAATATTCGCCTGTTGTATAAAGATATGTAGACATATGAACATGCCTGAATGAGTAGGCAGAATAAATACTTCAATGTCTCGTTTGGTACGCAAGATTTGCTATTCTCACTTCTTATCAGTTCTCACTTTATGTGAAAATTGTCACTCCCAACCATTTAACAAGGAATTAATATTTACATTTAAGTGGAAATAAAATAATTAAATAATTTTTGATTATACCCTCCTTAAAGATACGAATAGATATAAATTCTTATATGAAAAATTATTCTATAGAAATAATATCATTAGCTGCTCGTACAAATATACAAATAGATGTAAAATATTAAAATATTATTCTTTGTTCGCTTTTGCCCTAGTTCCATCGCGTCTGCAGCAGAAAAAAATCTCATCTTCGACTCAACGTGACTCGGTTAGGTAACCATTATTTCTTTTTAAAATATGTACGTGTGGCTAATATTTACCTAATCTTTATAGAAACTTTTATCTTTTGGCGACTCGAATGCGTAATCTGTTATCAATTAGGTTAGTAAATATGTTATCTTGGAATGTATGATTTGAAGTTCCATTGAAGCATATATGCCTAATATTTTCAGTAATTTTTTCAAGCACTCACAACAAAAAATAATGTGCTTAATTGATGAGATTGAAACTTTATGTTTTAATTAGAGGTTAACATGTTTTTTATTCCTTCAAACTTTCTAGGTTAATATGTTTTCTATTTCTAATCAATTTTTTAAAAGTTAAAAGTACATTTGAAATTTCATAGAAATTTTATATACAGACTAAAAGTTAACATGTTTTATCAATCCTTCAAATTTTAATGTTTTCTTCTGATCTCTCTCTTCATGCATGCACATGGAATTCAGTCGTAAATCATGTAGCATGCATATGGAATTCAGTCTATTGTATACGTTTGTGCACAGTGATGCTAGTAGCATTAGTTGCTCGTATAAGTAATAGACATGTAGCATTAGAAGTTAGAAATATGAAATTATAATTATTTATTATTAAAAATAATTTCTATGAAAATTATTTTTCAATTAGTAAGCCAAAAGCCTGAAATTGTTGTTGAGGCTATTGTAAGCCAAAAGTCTATTGTATACGTTTTATTCTCTAAACGTGCCTAAACATGAGAATGAGAATGTGCATTATGTTCCCACTTCTATTTCATTCCATTCCATTCCTATATTCTTTTCATTCTCACTTGACACCATTCTCGCATACCAAACGAGGCGCAAGAGCATTCAACACATGAGAAATCCAACATGGTATAGTTAGATGCCCAGTGTCACGCCCCGGGCCCGCGGGCCCGTTAGCGCGTGCAAGCTGTGGGACACGCCGAGTGTAACGCACTGTTTGGCTCAAACCACTATCAAAATCGACTAGCCAGTATTACACTTAAGTCTTTAGCTTTCACTAAATAAACCCTTTAATTTCTCATTCTCCCACCGATGTGGGACTAAATTTTTTTGCAAATATAGCTATCGTTGTTGCTGACAGTGGGATGTCACATTTACCCCACCTTACAAAGGCGATGTCATCATCGCGACATAACAATTAGCACATCCTAGTATCACCGGCAAGCGATGTAGACTCTAGAGGTGACTCCTACGGGCTCTAGAGGTGACTCTCATCGCATCATACGGTATAACACTTAGTTCCACACTTTCGGCTGGCAACTGCTCTGATACCATTTGTCATGCTTCGGGCCCGCAGGCCCGTTGGAACGTGCAAGCCATGGGACCCACCGAGTGTAACGCACTGTTTGGCTCAAACCACTGCCAAAATCGACTAGCCGATGTTACACTTGAGTCTTTAGCTTTCACTATATAAACCCTTTAATTTCTCATTCTTCCACCGATGTGGGACTAATTTTTTTTGCAAATGTCGCTATCGCTGACAATGGGATGTCACACCCAGAATCTATTTCATCACCATATCAGCAACAATGCAAACAAAAATGAAACAAAAAGGGCTTAAATACTGGCAATTTTTCTGATAGCCATGCAAGCTAATTAAACTCTTAAGAGCAACAGAATTCTTGAACACAAACTAAGCATAAGATCTAAAGGAAAATAACTGCTTTATCAGGATGAACTCTATTTTCTCAACCAAAAAGAAAAAGAAAAAAAGGATGAACCATAGTGAAAAACTAAGGTCAGTGGTATTTATAAAAAGACCAAATTGCAGATAACAACATTGTATCATCAGCTGATAATGGATATCCTATTAAAACTATTCGCTATTCCATACCCCTGGACTACTCACAGCAATTTTAGGCACTTGATTTAGCGGAATACATACCTATAAATCACCCATCAATTACCCCAATCCTTCACTAACAATCTTATTAATCCTAATCGAAAGTTCTATCCTTTACCCAAATGCTTCACCTCCTCCACCTCATATCCTTCTTTGCCAAACTGTCCAAATTAACTTTCATCAAAGCCGCCATTTCCTCCTTCACCACCATCACACCTCCTCAAATCTAACATGAATCCTAACCGTACCAGCTCCACACCATCTCTTTCACCATTACTACACGCAACCACAATTACCTACACCAAGCCAACAGAAATTCCTCCTCAAAAGCAAAGTCATATTTAAACCTCAATTAAGATCTGAAACGAGCCAATCATGTCAACCACCATCACAACTTCCTCCAAAACCAAATTATAACTAACCTCATCCTCTATTTCTGTCACAACTTTTGTCAAACCAAAGCACCTTTTTTCCTATCTTCATTAGAACCGTGATTTCTTTATCACTACCAGGATCAACATCCTCTCCACCAAATTTTGGACTATTATATAGAGAACATTATTAGCTAATAGAAGATGAAAATCATAGATTCCTGGGATCATGTGATGATGACAGTCATCTGATTTGGATGAAAATCACAACATATCAGTCTTTGCATGTAGTAAAAGAATACTAGTTGTTAACCTGGGAAGCACTATCTGCTGGTATACCTGAAGGCTAGCTGCAATTTATTCTTTATGAAACAGCTAGCTTTAATTAATAGAAAAATATGCATCACAGGTAAATCAACAACTAAAATATCAAAGAAAGAAGAACTTCAAAACTTGCATACGTAGGTCAGGAAGTTTTCATAGAAGAAAAAACATATCATAAGAACATAGACATCAATACATGACGTATCATGCATGCTTGTAATTCTCAGAGGTTGAAATTCCTGATGGTTATAATATTTGACAGTAGCTCGGGTTTGAATCTGAGAATGTTGTTGCAGACTCTCAAGCAGAACTTCCTATGATAACAGTGCAGATAATAGATCAACAAGAAAAAAAGAAATTATCTTATAATTATATGATACCAACAGTTTCGCAGCCAGCTAAACATATATACACGGGCAGACAACTGTCCCGCTTATTAGAAGTTAAGACCTAGATTTATTCAAAAACATTAGAACAGAATTTTGCACATAAAGTCTTAAGAGGAAAGTAAATTTTGCAAACAAAAAAAAGTAATTAAAATATCATCACATTAATATATTTCAAGGACTTTGTTCAACATGCAAAAAATGCTACAGTTTGTAGACAAGGAAACAAGTATCACGCTTCAACATGGACATGAGACTTGAATCATGGTAATTATCGAAAACTCAATTTGAGCACTATGTATGTAATCTGAGTACGATTAGTTTTTGTCAAAAAAGGATACAATATAATCCATCTTGTATATAATATTTGAGGTAAATAACAGTTCGGACATTGATGGACATGGTGACAAATCTAGGTGTGTTGGACATATTACTTAATTATAGGGAGTAGCTAGTATCCTACGTATCTTAGAGAAAATGTAGCCAAAGACTACATTTGAAAGGAAAAGGGGCACGTGACATGTAATTCATGTAATTATGAGTTTATGACTTGTTATGACATATATAATTCAGACCAGAAATAGTACCAAATCCCTAGCTGCAAAGAAAAACCAAGTTCAAGTCCACCTAAAAGATTATAATATTTGACGCTACAAATTAGCAAATTTAAAATTTGAAAAAAAAACCCATTTATACAATGTTTATATCAAATTTTACAATATGACGAGTCAAATGAAAAAAGTACTTTCAGTTATAGTTGAAATTAGGAAAGCCACTGCCACCTGGCTAGGGAGTAAAGATATGACATTGTGCTATCTTTCACTCGATATTCAACACTAAGCTACAAACAAATTATTTTTTAAAAAATAGAACTGGTTAGGTAAAATATTACAAAGTACTAATCATTAGTAATATGCCATAAAGTGAAATTTCAATGTTGCAAACATTCCTAATCATATGCACTTACAGATCAACTTCTATACAAAATTCCCATATATGCACAGTTTTTCACAAAAATATATTTCAAGATTAAAAAAAATCCCAAACATATCATTTCAAGTAAAAGGGAAAAGCGGAGCCACATTCTATTTAAGAAAAAGGTCACACTTCGAAGCGAGGCCCTCAACCATAATAGAATCAATTTTGTGTATAAAAATTACAAACAGTACGATATATACACAATGAAAAATTCCAAAGTTTGCACTTAGAAAACCATATATAAAAAGCCTAAAACAAAAACCCCCTTAAAACATTAGAAAAGGATCACTACCTTATAGTGAAACATAGTAACTTTCAGCAACAAATTAGCCACGTGTTCCTATTCGACCAACCCAATCTAACTAATATTCTAAAATAAATGCATAAAAAAAAACAGAAACCCGACAAGAAAAATGCTTTAAAAAAGCACCTGAACGGCCTCTTCAACGGGTCTCCACTCCCCCTTCACAAACACCATCTGCCTCCTCATCTCCTCCCTCTTAAACCGAAGCTGCTCCCTCGTCATCGGAATATAAACAGTATACAACCCATCCAAACCCTCCGGCAACTTAATCACGACCCCCCGCCACCATCCTCCATTACGAAAAGCTTCAACACACTGCTCGAGCTCAAACGCAGCGTCAAAATCCTCAGGCGGCGGTCGAGGCCGAACTAAGGAGCAGTGAACAATCTCCTTGAGGGGACTCGAGGGATCCCCGTCCGCAGAGAAGTCAGTGTAGGTGACAGCGTATCGTCGGTTCTTGATGACGCCGGTTCGGGTTGTGGCCTCGAACCACGCGCCCTCAAACCCGTCGTCGTTGGATCGGACTTCTACTGCAGTTCCAACCCCAAAACTACCGCGTCGCCTAGAAGAGCGGGGTGAGTGCCAGAGCTTACTAGCTCTCATCGCCATTGTAGAGATGGCGGGTGAGAGAAAAGGGGAGCTTGAAGGAAGCAAATACAACAGTGTTGTAAGCTTTTAATGTTTGCTCGAAAAAAAGGGGGAGATTTTTAGGGGGCGGTGAGGTTACCGAGGAGTAAATAGATCTGACCGAAGGATGGTTGTCGGAGTGTTAAATAGTGAATGTAATGAACGGTGGATCTTCTTTTGACAGAAAAAAATCAGATGAAAAGATACAGGTTCTTTCTGTTTTTTTCTTTATTCGGGTTTGAATTTTATTGCTATAAGTAGGAACTAATTTGAACCCTTTCTAGGACTTAGCAATCAGTACAGACCTTTTCCAAGAAAAACATTATTTGCACCCAAAAAAACACAAAATCAAATCGAGGTGGAAAAAATTCAAGAACTGAGAGAGGTGACCTGATCATCGTCTTCAACGTCAATCCACTTCCCCTTCGCCCACTTCATTTGCCTCCTGATCTCCGATGCCTTGAACTGAAACTCTTCCCTGCTCTCCGGGAAACAAACTGAATACAGTAAGTCTCCATCTCTCTCCGGCACTTTGGTCACCACTCCCTTCCACCAGACCTCGCTGTGGAACGCCTCGACGCACTGGTGGAGCTCGAAACCGGCGGCGGGATCGCCGGCGGCCTTGCCGCGGCGGATCTTATACGTAAAGGATCTCTTCTTCGAGAGGTTTGAGCGGAGGCCTCGTCGCGCGATGAGCAGAAGCTTTAGGGACAAATGGCCGGAGCGTTGGACTCGGGGTGTTTCTGACGATTGGCTCGCTCGAGCCACGCGCCTTCGCGAAACCCGATGTCGCCGCCGATCGGACCTCCACTTGAGCATCCTGACTTCGGAAGAGCTGGCACCGGCGGCGGCGGTCAGTCGGTCGGCCGGGCGCGGGGGACATTGAGGATGTGATTAGGGTTTTAGCGATAGAGAATCGTCACTAATTTGGGCGGGAAAATTGAGGAGAGTGGCCAGAGTATGAGTGAAATGGAAAGGGAAAACGCTGTTGCAGGAAATTACTTTGAGGAGAAGGAGGTCTGGGCACCTACAGTGAGGTTACCGCAATAAATGTCTTGTTGCTGATGTGGCTTGCAATAAAAGGCTAATTAGCACTCAAATACCCTATAGTTTCCCCAAGTTTGCACCTAAATACCCTCACTTGTCTTTGGCAGCACCTATAAATCCTAAGAGTTACTAAATTTTACGCCACCTTGTAATTTGTAATGAAGGCTAATTAGCACTTAAACTATTTCAAATTTTATTGGCCTAAACATTCCACAATGTTAAATAGTTGACAACATTACTGGAATTTAATTTTCAGGAAATCCATGTGTTTCTCCTAAATTAGTTCGAAGAATTAGCCTTTTCTGCAACATAAATATGCTCATTTTAACTTATCAAGCTGCATAATATCTTTGTCAATCTCAGATTATACGTCTGATCCGATGTAACTTGAAAGCAAAACGCTCCCTTGGTATCACAGGAAAAAAAGAAAAACAAAACTCTTCCCCTCAAAACATATCTTAATTTTCTCTCGGAGAGTATACTACACCACTGTAAAACGAAAAAAATCATTTAGTTATTTTAGAGAGTAAAGAAAGGAAAAAAAAAAGGAACAAAATATTATGCATGGAACTCATCATCGTAAGCAATCCTTTGAATTGTCTCGATTGTCTACATTTCATAGTCACTACCATACATCAGCATTCTTTGAGACACAATATTAGTTACATTTTTCTCTCTCTTTTCTTTTCTAGTTTTCGTCGTTTCTAGTCTTTCAAAAGAAATTGCCTATGTAAAACTTTTCTCTTTTTGAACAGCAGAAGGAGACTACAAAACTACCCAAAATTCCACCTAAAATTAGATTTATATCACTGTTGGTTATCTGCAAAAGTCAGGTTGCTCGGATCGACTTCGTTCAGCAGAATAAGTATCGTCCCTGGATTCCCATCTTCTTCGGTCCACTTAATGGATTCTCTCTCCAAAAGCTTAATGACCTGCAATTTAGTTAACAGAGCATAAACGATTAAGTAATGCTTGAAATCATGAAAAAATAGGAAATGAATTTTGAATTAGAACCATACAAGGCACGAATTTATCAGTTGGACTTAAGCCACTAAGGAATTCATTAAGGAGAGGAGACAATTAAAAAGGTTCAAGTAACATGAAAGGTACATACTGAGATGACCAGCCCATTTTTGCTCTGTTCAATCACATTTGGATATAAAATGTGACCGTTATTTTTAATTGTAAACATGTTTTCGTTTAATTTATAATCTCATAGAAATTAAACCAAATGTTTGTGTAGTACTTGCATGTAATTTAAATCACAATGCGTTAATAATTTGATCGGTTTTGTGAAAGTTTTAAATTATTACAAGCCTGAAAGAAGTATGCTCTAAGTGGTTTCACGATTCATAAACAGTCGTTAGTGTCCATGTTAGAAAATTTCAACTAGGAAGAGAACTCCAGAACTAACTATTAATCGCAAGGAGATTTTATTTACGGACCCCGCAATTTTTATACCAATCACTTGTTTGAAGGGTTCTACTTTAACTTAATAGTTTGAAAATTCTCGGAACGAAATATAACTTGATTTCAGGAATAGCAAAATGCCCAACTATAGAATTATCGTAGTTGGTGATATTCTAATGGAGATAGAACCTTACGAATGACACTTCAACAATATGTTCTCTTACTCGGCCAAGAAAGTTCCAAATTTTAGTTTTCAGTATATTCACTTTCTTATACAAGATAAAAACAGAGAATCAAAACTAATTTTAAAAAAAATTCAAACAAGGTATATAGGTCATCAGAATCTCATAGAAGAAATGGTCAATTATACTTAAATTCATACCTGTCTTTTCCTCTTTCCTTTAGTGGTATCTTCATCATCAGTATTAACAATAACTTTCAAGTACCTAAATACTACAGCAAACAAAATCATGAAATTAATTACTTGTCAATCCAAAATATCAACGGACTCAAAAAAGAAATTAAATCCAAATACAAATGAAATTGCGTTATCTTACTTGGAATGTTAGCTAATGACACTAGATGCTTCTTCAACAAGCGTATAGAATCTCTTGCACTGTGGATACGCAAATCAAGTGGTACATCATTTCGGGTCTCGGATTTTCTGCATGATACAGTTTGGAAATAACAATTAAGTACTTTCTAGACAATTAGCTTAAGAAAGAGGTAAAAGGTAACTTTTCAACACTGAAAGCTTGTACTTACTTTGTTTCCAGAATCTCCACTGCACATTTTTCATCTGCTTCTCGAGCCATTTGCTTGTGACGCCTTCCCTTCAAATTGCACAAAACATATTGTTAAAATTTTGGCAAAGAATCACCTGCTGGTAGCTTCTATGATCTTTAAAAGCATGGAACTATTTCCACATGATCAATTTGATAAAGTAATCGTCAGAGACCAAAATCCCCTATGTTCATCCATACAAAGATCAAAGACTCCCAAAATAAAGAGGCAGCATAAAATGACGATAAGTAATGTAATAAGGAAACATACTAAAAGGATCAGCCCCTTCAAAATTAACAAGAAGACAAACTAAGTACAAATATAGGTCTACAGTAAGAAAGCAAGCTAAAATGCAAAGGAACCTATAAACAAAACCAACAAGGTTAAATTTTTTGGTAGTAAATCGGCGACAATGGAGACATGAAATTTCTTTTGGCTAAATACCCATATTGGTATTTTAATTCCACCCCATTTTCCAATAAGGTATTTTAATTAGACAAGCCTACTTTAAGGCATTTTAATTGATTCAACTAACCAACGAGACCCTTTTTCTCGTCAGCGACCAGTTTTCCGACGAGAGCTCGTCATGTGCATGGCACGTGATGACTTAAACTATGTTTTAGCTGCTAATGTGGCACGGACTTTCTGACGTGGATAAAACAGTTGGGAGAATAAAAGAGGGGATTCAAGTTGAGATTGAGTGAGATTGGAAACTAGGGTTTATCAAATTGGGGCATTCAAGCTGAGATTGAGCGTGGAAGAGAAGATATTATGTCGTCGTCATCAAGTTCAAGCTCTCATTCTAAAGCAAGCAGGGTCAGTGGAAAATTAGGGCATCCAACTGTGAAAACCCTAATTCTATCAAATCTAACAAAAGGCAACAAATTTTGGGTTTATCTTTCATTTAAGGTTTACTCTGAGGAAGACGATAGGCCCTCTTGAGGAAGAGTTAGGGTGTTAAATACCCTAAGAGTCTAAGGCAGTTACTCAGTACTTGATTAGACCGTTTAAGGTTAAAGCAGTTAAATAGTAAGACCGAACAGATCGGATCTGGACGGACAAGATCTGGCGGTTCCTTGAGCACGATCTTCAACAAACCAACAAATTTTGGGTTTATCTTTCATTTAACTCAAACTAAATACGTGATTAACTTATCCTCTTCAAAACAACCAAAATATCTCAAAGTATAAAGAGAATCAAACCTTCGCATCGGCTTCAACCCGTACCAAGTCGTCGTCCTCCGAAAATCACCTTCTGCATCAACTGAGGAACACCATCACATAGAATCCTTGCAATCTATCTCCTTCAACTGCCTCATCCACGATTTCTCACTCTCTATTTCTCCCTCTCTCTCAAATTCTGAAAATAAAAGGGGCAAATCTGTCCTATTTTGGGTGAATTGGAATTTTTAGAGGGTTAATTCCCGCCTTTAAACACTGTCACGTTAGAAAGTCTGTGCCACATCACCAGCTAAAAAACAGTTTAAGTCATCACGTGCCACGCACGTGACGAACTCTCGCCGAAAAACTGGTCGCCGGCGAGAAAAAGGGCCTCGTTAGTTAGTTGAATCAATTAAAATGCCTTAAAGTAGGTTTGCCTAATTAAAATACATTCTTGGTAAATGGGGTAGAATTAAAATACCAATATGGGTATTTAGCTAATTTCTTTTCAAGCAGTTCTAGTAGGACTAGAGATAAGCCAAAAGTAAAGGTTTTCAAATTAATCAAAACTAATCTGAAACTTGTTGCTGGCATCCATCACCAATATACAAAAGATTAATTTACCGAAATAATAGAACTTACTTGCTCTATCAGATCATTGGCTTTTGAGCGATCACCACTTCCATATGCTTCAATAGCCTGCGAAACTCAATGTCATGCCTCTCTTTTTTTCAATATTATTATTGAAAGAAACACTTCAAATACGAATGTCATTCAAAATGCATGTTTACATTAATCAAGAAAAATAAAGGCTGAGTATCATGATCCGTAAAATAAGAAATTTATGGAGATCATTCATGCAATAAGCTCCTTACAGCTTCATAAAGTTCCTTCATTTTATCCCAGTGCTTCTTTGCATCTTGCCTAAGCATCCCATAAATGTCCTCTTCCTCCACAACTAGAAACAAGTATAAACAGAAACAATAGTTTGATATTAGATATTCTGGATAGCGTTATGCACATCCTGAAAGTCACATTTAATGAGCATCAGACACAAGGAGAACCGTGGAAGGTATATATTCATCTAGATTTGCAGTATCTACTTTCAAATAAGCATAAAGATAGAGTGATAGAGACCAATGTTCATTCATTTTGTAGCTATCAAACAAAAAGTAGCTATGACTGTCAAAATAACCTAGATAGAACAAAATTCTTATGAAAAAATATGAAAAAACATCTAGAGTTGTGTCCAATGTAGAGGTTGGTATTCATGAGCATTCCAACTTGAAGCAGGTTGGAAAAATAAAGATTAGGAACATGTAGTTGTCAACTATTAAAAACGTTTTTAAGTATTCTGTGTCAATCATGATCCTATTCAAATATCAATGACACTTCTACACATCAGACTGGGTTGTCCACTTTCGTTCATCAAAACATCCATGTAGTAAAAGATATGCATAGCCAAAGTGTCAATGTCTTTTCTCATTAAAAATTTATATAAAAATCAATCGCGTAGTCAGATGTTATATGATTTGTAATTTCAATTTCTTCTGTCTACAAATACAAACCGAAGAATAGCCAAGTATATATGTCAAGTTATACATGTTTAATTCAGAACATGTGTGCAATTGTTCTATTAAAAAAACAATTTGAAGTACATGTAACCTCAAGTTTATGAACATTGTTTAGAGCTCATACCATGATCATTCTCAGGCTGAGCATTTGCTGGGTCAGAAACTGGCTTAGAAATAATATCATCATATGGCTTTGTAACAACCTTTTGTCCAATCACCCTTGTTCTATTTAACCCCCATTCAAGCCGTTTCTTTGGTTCTTCCTCCTCAAATCTATCAGGCGGACTAAACAATGATAGTAGCAGTTCCCTTGGAAGATCAGATCTCTCTTTGTTAAGGCTAGTTGGCTCTGTTGCTTTTCTGCAGAGGAAGTTGATTTGGTTTTTAGAAAATAAAACTGGATGCTTGATTGACAGAATAATGCTAGGTATCACTTTTCCGACAATGTACCATGTATTGTATGCTGTATATAAAGGACTTGGAGTGAGAAAAAAAAGGTAGCTATTAAAAGATAGTCTATAGGCATACCTTATGGAAGGAAGCTTCTCATGACTTTCCTTCGGATGCCAGAGTTCAGATTTTGGGTCCGCACCTATACACTGATAATGAACACGCACATTGAGTAAAATAATTAAGGACATACAAAATAAGCTATATAATTAGGAATGATGCAGTAGACAGCAATTACACGTTAGAAGCAAAGCGTTTCTAGTCATTAAACATCTGCCTTAAAATGTAAACAAGATTTGGTACGTCACAATTATGCAGAACTAAGCTTTAATGGAAGATACGGATTAGAAATAAGAACGAAACATAAATACATCAAAAGACAGTAAAACATGGTATTCCTAAATTTCCTCTAATTCAGTCAATTCAATAGTTTCAAAAATGCCTGTCAGATATTGGTTTATTTTGACAAGCATGACTAGAAATATCCGTAAATTTCCTCTAATTCGGTGCGGATCGGTTCGGATACATCAAAATCTTTCCACACTTCAGAATAACATCTTCTTTTCTTTTCAGGTCTTTCATCAATTTTACTTGAAGATTCCTCAACCACGGGTTCAATAGTAGGTTCAACATTAGGCTCAACAGTTTATTCTTCGTTAGACGCTTGAATCGAAGGATGTATCCGAACCGTATCCTCTCCGATAACACCCCTACCTATAAGTCATGTACCATATTAGTGGCCGACTATTTTATACTCTTTTGATGTTAGTCTATATGTTTGTCCATCATGCAGAAAACTACAGCAACAAGCATATTCTTCCTCCTGTTATAAAAGAAATTCGAACCACCTATAGCTGTCAAATCTTTTCAACTACAAGAGTCCTCTCCATGAATCCTTCCTCACCAATCACATATCTAGGTCAGATTAAGAAGCTATTTTCTTCCATGTAACTTCATAAATAAAAACATAACAAGATAATTTCAACCTAACAATACAGAGAGATAAGCCATTCGAAAAAACAGTGATAGCCTATTCAACTCAACCATGGATCACCCTATTTCTATTCCATCTGCTCTATTGGCAATAACATCAAACAATCATTTAAGCAACGAAAGCTAAATAGATATTTGGAATAACTCCATGACTCTGTTGTACATCAGCATTAACTGTGGAAAAGTAAGCACATAAATGACAATCAGTTTATCAAATATTGGAAAGTCACACTGAGAATAAAAGTAAAATGCATTCAGCTAAGATCATTACAGCTAATAACATACATGATTGGTGAAACAACTATTAAAGAACATTTACCAGTGGACTTCTTAATTACCATACATACTTTTTCTGATATATCGTAAGCTATTCCCTTTCCCTTGTCCTGAGCTTTTGCAGATAATCCCAACAATTCGTTCATGCTCTGCACAATTAAAAAACAAGCAATCTTTATGCATAAGCTCCTCAGGAACAATGTCTTTTCTTTTCCTTGTTTCTTTTTTTTTTTTCCTTTGGTTAGTTGACAATGTCAAATTTTGTAAAAATATATCAATCATTCAATTGGAACAGAAATATTGTACTGCTTAACTTTGAGTAAATCCTTATACCTCTCTGCACATAACTTGTCACCGACCCAAGAAAAAGGTGCTTCAAACATTAGAGTTTCATTTCATCTTTTAACAGAAAGAAAAAAAATATCAAGGATAGATCAATTTGAATTCATTTTTGGGGCATGAAAAATTACATTGGAAGGAAATCTCTGGTTTCTTATCACATTATGTGATTTCTATTCATCTAAACTAATGTCACTAACCCCAGCACCAGCAAATCTGTAAAGGCAAGATATTTATATAAAATATTGCGCAGAAGAACATTTAATGTAAGAAAATATTCTTTGCAAATGTGATCCATCTGGCTCTTCGTTTTATTCTGCCTTAGAGATGAAACATGGATCAGCAACAGTTGATCTAATAAGGGAATTTAGAGGCTGCCTCCAGATTGCATATTAAAGCCTTAAACCACATTGCTCAACTCCAAAGGTATATCTATGCACCGGTAAACTGGTACAAAATATTATGGGAGGATTCCTTCTTGTAAATAGATATACTAGGCAGGACTTTAGCAGCAGCTTGTAGAGAATGATATCAGTTTGACAGTTTGTCATAAATATTTGGTCAATTTTTGTGAAGTTACTTGACATCAGCTCTGGTCAATATCAGACCCCATAAAAGGATGAATGAATGACTATGAGAATTGATGAGCCTCCAGAATTTTCTCTGTAGCAGTTTATATAAAGTTTTATTGAACATTAACGCAGATCTAGAAACATTTGAACTTGAGCATGTGCAGAAGATCCTTTACACTTATAAAGGAAAACTAAACTCCTCGATTTGCAATTTAATTATATAACTAATGCCACCATTTCGATTAAGGTAAATTCCTTCCATGAAACGTTATATAACATGAAATTGTGTGAAAATCATGGTCATGCGTTCTTGTTATGATTTTAATAGAGTCCTAAATGGTAAATTATGTGACAGTTTGGATCTCATCTCATTTGCAGTTCCCCTGCTGTGAAGGCGTTATAGCTTCAAGTTCGTCGTATACTTCATTTGGTAACTAAATCTATTTGCATTTCCACTTATGATTACCATGATCTGGTATCTTTCGTTCAATTCTCAGTTTCATTTTAAACGTATTTGGGAGATGCATTAGTGAGCTTTGATCTTCAATATCATCTCATGTAGTCATGATATTGCATCAAGGATCAAGCATGACCAAGAATGTATGGACATAAGATTGCAGGTCAAACTTCATCACGTCAATTTAACTTTAGAATTATATATTTCACGACCTTGTCTTCATCACTGTAAAATCCATGCTGAGATTGGAATCACTTCTGAACAGAATGCTGGAAGTTTAACTTGAATAGTTATAGGGAGGTTTTACATCTCCTAAAGAGCCACAATAAGAAAACTACCCTCTTTAAAAGACTAATGTCACTGCTCCCAGTCGTATCTGTCAGGATTGAGCCGTAAAGCCTAAAGGCCCGCAAGTAATGTATGTTACTCTTTAAGTACCTGCTCATCCTAATAGTGTAACTATAAGGCCAAAAACTATACGACAAACTTCTACTCATGATTTCAGATCTGTAATTTATACATGTTCTTGAGTATAGCCTTTTACATTTATATACATGTAGGAGTTTAAATGATAACTAAACATATGACAATACAATCAACTTTTTACAGATTCGAACATTAAAATTCTGGACCACAGGTACAGGTTGTATGTGAACCTTGTTCATCCAAACCCACAAGTCCAAACTCCAAACCCATCCCGATGTCATATATGCAGTTTACTCATTTTGGTATGAGTACAACTCCTCTTTGTGAGGGATAATGAAGCATTCAAATGTAGAGGTATTTTGATTTTATCTTTTTATTTCTTTGGTCTTTTCTAAAATAACCACTTCAATAAAATAATTATGTAAAATTTATGTTAACACAAAAAAGGTGTTCAATCAAATAACCTGAATAAAAGTAGAACAGAACTCGAATCCAGTTATCTATGGTTTGGGTTGTGTTTGAATCCAATAGCCCCTACAATATCAATTTTATATGTGGATAGGATATCTCCTATCAGATTTGGATCTTACATATTTCTGGTATGATCTAAACCTGTTAACAGCCCTATCTAGATTTATGCCAAATTATACGCATCGCTTAATGTTTGATTTTCGAGGTTTGTCATTGTGCCACTTCTTGCTAGTATTGGACTTACAAAACATATGTAAAAGGAAGCTCATGTTACAAAATAATCCAACAGTAAATTCGTTGCGATGCTTAACCTCCAGACCTTCCTAATCAAATACTCCCAGATTTCAAAGCAGTACTATACTTCAAAGCAGCAGGAACAAGATCATAATCTGTTGAGCATTTGAGCATCTCTCTCTCTCTCTCTGTGTATAGAAAAATAGACAAATTGACATGATGCAATAGGCGTATTTTTTGCGCTTACCAGAATCCTAAACTCTGGTCTCCCTTTTACAAACCCTCCCTTTTACCATAGGATCAGGCATCTTTTCATGGTGTTAACTGACCAATTGAGTAATCTCTAAAAGATAATCAAGTTGTTCTAAAAAATAGCATGCAAAAGATACAAGTTCATGATCCCAAAAAAGATCAAATATGCTTCAAAAGGAAGTGATCATGTGTTTGACAATGCAAATATACATCCAACAATGCAGAGATATGTAGCATATTGACAAGAAATGATAAATAATGAAATCAGACAGATTAAGTAGTAGAAGTATACCTTCTTCACATCATATCCGCATTGACCTGCAAAGACACAGACATTGTTAAAAAAGCTTACAACAAAGGAAATAAGGGGGGAAAAGCATAAACCAGAAGCATGAACTCAAATGGTACACATTTGTTATGAATATGAGGAAGGAAAAGATCTATTAACAACAAAACATCTATTTGAACTTGAAGTTAGACGACCATTGATGAGCACAAATAACAAAGTGTAGCACACACATCTAAAAATTGCTTCTGAATTCCAGCCATTAATAAAACAAATTCATAATATGGAATATCCAACAACGATGATAATCTTCTAACCACAGCCATTATTTGAAGATCAAGTATCTCTGCTAATCACAAAAGAATTTGTTGCACATTAGGAGCAACTAAACACTGACCTCTTCTGAAACATCACTTAGTGAAGGAATTCTTACTTCAACTGCAGGGATATTTGATTTATGATTTCCTGGAAATTTATGTAAGTGCTAAATGTAAATCTTAAAGGTGTCTACTGTGTCTATCTGAAGTACTTAATATGCAAATCTTCTGAAAACCATCACAAATACAAGGCTAAATTTATTTAATGTAATCTATTGGCCCACTTAGTTGGATTTTGCTTAATATAAGGCCTGGAAGCTCGCATATAACTGCAATGGAATTATGTTGTCATCGTATTTTTCAGGTTTGAAGTGCAATTGAATTGCCGAGAAAAATGTCCACTGGTTTCCTTGCTTCCATCTTTGGACACGTCAAAAAAAATTAAAAACTGAAGCATCCAGTAGTCAAAGGATAAGTTGATGACACCTTGGAACTTAGTCCTCACCATTGTTTTAAATATCCCCGACATGGCCCGATATATCCCCCGATATATCCTTTTACAGGGTTTGCCGCAACCGATATGGTCTTTAAATATCTTTTACCGCTTTTTGGCTATTTTGAGTGATAAATCCCTGATATGGCCGATATATTAGCCGATATGTGGACCAATATATCTTTTTATATAGCTTGTTGCAAAATAATATACCGTGTTTGGAATTTTTGGGCGAGATATCAAGATTTTTCCATTATATCAAATGACATTTTTCCCTAAAAAAAGCAAATCGAATGTTACAACGTTGCTTTGCACTTTTGTTTGTTTTAGAAGGTTGATTAGCGATCCTAAACATATATTATTCATATTTTGTATGCTTAAATTTTATTACATATCTTGAGATTATATTTTAATGCATTATACTATGTATGCAAACATTCATTATAGCATTCCGATATTTACCACATATCCCCAATATTTTCCCGATATCCGCAATCCGATATGAATTTTGGTCATCCGATATTTCCCCGATATCCGATATTTAAAATATTAGTCCTCACCTAATTGAGATAGCATCTGGAAATTAAAGGTTAAGCCCATGGTTTTTGGAGCAACCATGAAATTTAAGAAAACAAATGGTCAATGAGCAGTCCTGAAGAAATATAAATATCTATACAACGGATGGCCTTTACAGTCTGTTTCACAAGAGCAATCAAGATAAAGAATGCAATCAGAGAATTTCACCAAACTCTTGAGTCTTGATATTTAAGTTCGAGATCACATATTTAATCCCAAAACCTTGTTGGCAAAGAAAAGTGGAAAGTAAGATGGAAAAGAAAATTCTAGTGGCAGTTTGTTCCTTTGTGTTTCCACATTTTTGAGGAGGAAGCACAATTTTTTAAACAATATGCTATGGTATTTAGTGAGTCCAGCAATTGGTAATGAATCTAATTCTTTTTTTCTGAAAACAGTTGCCACTTGATAGAGGAAACAGATAAAAGACCTGTTTCCATTTGATTATGCCCATCCCTGTGAGCCCTGTTGCCAAACAGAGACCATTAGTAGTTGGTAAGGCATGTGAGTTATGTAAAGTAGTCACAAACTCAAAGGATACCTTGCATTTAGAAGAATTTTCATGATGGAAGGCTTCGATATTAAATTCAAAAAACATAAATATATGCACACAACCTTGCACCTAAACTCAAAGAAACTTATTTACTGCAAGCAAGGGTAGCAATATTCAGTTGGAAACACAACTAGTCTTCGCTGTGCATATACATATGTGAATGATGCATAATACGTGTAGGCATGTTTATACATGAAATAATAATTACCTAGAACTTCTCGAATCACATCCATGCTGAGCTTAAAACCATCTCCAAGCATTGAAAAGAGAAGCTCCTCTATATCCTTGTGGTTTAAATGGTTTTCCGGATTAACAGCCTCTTTCTCAAGCTCATCAGGAGATGATACTTTCACTTCAGACTTTGAAGGTTTGGTTGCTTCCACCACTTCCCTTTTAGATGAAGCAGGCCGAGCATATGATTTGCCTAGGATAGTAGATACAGTTCCTACTGCAGCAGTTAGTTTCTTTGGTTTTGATACTGTGATATTGCAAAAGTGGTTTGCTTTATCCTCAGTAGCTGATTCCTGTAGTTGCATGGTGTTCTTTCCATTGTCAATTTCAGGGAGTGCAATATCGGAGTTGCTCTTTTGGAGTTGGCACAGAAGCTCTCCAGCTTTGCATAGATCACTCCCTGCCTTGCAGTAGGCAGAGGCTATCTCTTGAAGAGAGAAAAATGGATGATAGACATCGAGCAAGTACCCCAGAGCTTTAGTCTCGTCCTCAGGCTTTATATTGAGTGAACAATATGGCTCCATTTTCTAAAAATTCTGTAGAGTGTGATAATTTGGGAACTGAAGGCCTTGGTAAAAAAAAATAGAAAAACTGAGAGGGAAAAAATGATCTAATGTTAAGAGACACTACGTACAAGGTAGAAGCATTTGTGCAGCATCAGGAAACAGAAGTGAGGATTTATTTCACTGGTAAAAGAACGCCATCTTCAAAGCAAATAAAGTGTGTTTGGAGAATAAAGTGTGTTTGGAGACTACATGCAGATACCATGTAGCCTTAATGGAAACAGGTTATGTTGAATTGCTACAAAAAATAGAACCACATGCAGTAACAAGGAAGATAATGGATGATGTGACATAACCTACTTTTCCTACTACATAAGCTGGAGATAATTTACTATCAAGGAGAAAACTTCATTTCGCATAGCCATTTCTACTGCATAAGCTACCTTGCGATATAATTAAAAAATAAAGTGAAAATAATTTATTACACGGTAGCATTGTCTTTAAAAATCATGATAAAAAACAAGCATGTGCTAACATTGCCCTTCCTGGTAAGAGCCCAAAGTCCTAATGATAACACCATTTTATCATTTTCCGATCTCATAATCAGTGTGTTATTGGTTCACAAATATACTTTCCTTTTCTTTCAAATGAACTGATTAAACGAACTTCCGCTGATTTTCATTTTAACCCATCAATTTTCCTTGTACAAAATTGCCTGATAAATTTGGAATATGTAGTTTTTTAGGTAAAGAGCATAGATACAATATATCAAGAATAAAATGCAAAAGGCAGTGAAGACTGGACTTCTCATCTGGCATTATAATGGAAAATAATACCATTTCTCCATTCACAAGATAGGACTTATTCCTCGTCTGTGGAATAGTTATCCTCGCGTTATATAGGCATAATCCTTTATAATAAACTTTCCTGTCCTTTATTATTGAAAATAAAACACAAAAATAATGGCTTTCATGAATTAATCCATATTATTTTCTGAAACAAGGTTTATGAATCAACCCCTATTATACAAATCGCTCATCAAAAAAAAATAATTTAATACATTTACTTAATTCCAATTGCCCATTTTCCACACAGTTGGTTCACAGAACAATCCCTAATTAGAGCCCAATTGACCAACGCGGAACCAATATCTAATCGCCAACGCAAGAAACAATCAACAAAATGGAGAAAGACCCAGATCATCAAACACGCGAACACACGCATCGCTGCAAAAAATAAACAAGTTTTGAGGATCAAAATGCCGCTCACCTGAAGGAAGAGACGAGACCCAACAATGAAACAGTGGGTAGAAAAAGGGAAAAGGGGGAGAATCCTTGGAATTTAAACGCGTGATTTGGTTTGGGTTAGAGAGAGAAAGAGAGTGCAGAGAGAGAAAGTGAGTGGGGGAGGGTAATGGGACAGAGTGAGAATTAATTTTTGTTTGCCGTATTGGTTTTTAGCATAGAAGGCAGTAATTATGAGAAATTGTCTGCATGGCAAAGAAAATATAAAAGCAGCGCACAGAAGAGTCCAGGCTCTGCTCTCTACTTTTTGGCGCTGCGTTCAGTGTAGCGGCTAAGTTTTTTTAGTGATGATTTGGGCTAAGTTTTTTTTTTAATGATGATTAGCACTTACATACCTTTATAGGTTATCCTCCTTAACCCATTTATTCCTTACTTAAACTAGCTAAATACATCATCAATAACCAGAGAAACAAGCTCTAAAGATACTTCTTCTAACCCAAATCTAGCTACCTCATATCGAGTTAGACTATATATCGCCAAATGATGAACAACCTTATTTATATCCCGGTGCACATAACTCACGGTCGAACCATCACAAGCACGCTAAATAGAACTTAAATACCACATAGTTTCACTCACTTCGCACTTATATGTACTCACTTGTTTTTTGTAGCATTTTAATTGTTTAAATTTGAAACGTTGATATATTCTATAATGACGTAAAAATTTTGGCATGAGACACTTACATGCCAAGTTTTCGGACCTTTCAAGAGTAATGTTTGTTGAATTCAATGTAAATCTATCGTAATTCTATTTGAAAAGAGAATTAAGATAGGTGAGAATTTATGTAGGTCGAGCGATAAATTGTATTAATATTTATAGCTAAAAAGTTTTAAAATTAGCATGTATGTCATATACGAGAGTATTTTGGTGCGATATTTATACCTGCATAGTAGTCGGTACTAATATGCTAATTTTAAATAACTTATAGTATATAAATAATGTGAAAAAAAAATTGAGGGTAAATAAGTGAAAAGTGAGTGAAGCTATACATATTTAGGTGTTGCTTAGCCTAGCACTTATGCACTCTAGAACTTTTAAAATTGATAAGTTAGTACTTCTTGTAAAAGCGAGCATATTTCGTTGAAAATTCCAACGATGTAACAACATCGCGCTTTTAGAAGTTTTTTCTTCAATGTTTGTTTAATTCATCGCTAAAAGTGTGTAATTTTATTTTAAAATAGTATTTAAGTGTTTTGAAATAAAATTCAAAGGTGTTCAGTAGTAAATTAAACAAATACTAAGGGTTAAAATTTTTCTAAAATTAGTGTGTGAAAGTCACATGGGATTGTTGAGAACAATATTCTCACATTTTCACTATATCTACTTTTTTATTAGTAAAGGAGAACAATGAAAAGCTTCTATGAACAGTAAATCCTAAGTGGCCCAATCACAAGGAGCCACCTCATACCTACACCCACTACTCTCCTCTCTAACATCCCATTATAATAACTTCCACCTCCTATAATTACTCCCACGTCTTTTCAGCCCTAAAAACCGCTCAAAAAAATTTTAATCAAGATTACACCGTTCATCTACATCATTCTAATTAGGTAGTTACTGCAAATTAGGCAAAAGGTTTCTATTAACAAATTATCATATTTGTATTTGAAATTTTGAAAACAAAATTGTAACTGCACCGCCCTCTTAATCATTAATTATTCCCACTAATCTCTCACTTTAAAACCCTCTAAATTTTGTCTTTGGCTTTTGTCAGTAAAAAATAAGAAAGAACAATGAGTTCTTCTTCTTCAAATCCGACTAATGAAAAGCCGATACCGGTGTTGGCATTTGCATTAGGGCAATGTAGATTAAGAATAAGACAACGTGAAGCCACTTAATGAGTGTTCCCCTCTCGGTTTATCTCTTTATACGCTTTTCAATCTCTCTCTCTCTCTCTCTCTCTCTCTCTCTCTCTCTCTCTCTCTCTCTCTCTCTAAAGTTGTAAATTTTCAAATTTTCTTTCAAGTATTTGATTTTTTTTCCTTTGATTTTTTTAGATGCCTTGGTTGAATGGAACCCAATGAAGACACCTCCCTTACCAATTCTCTCGGTGGAATATATGGAGGTTATGAAGAATGAATTTCTGATGGTAACTCTAGGTTTTTAATAGGTAATTGATTGTCTGGGGCTATAACTAGAATCACCAAGCAAATCTGATGCATATAAAGGCTGCAAATATCAACATATTTATTGTTCTAATGTTGAAGTCCTCAATCCTGATATTTATATATTTATTTACTAAACTTTTTTTATTTCATTTTCTTACAAAATCTCAATTTCTTGGTTTTTTCTTGATAGTATGTTGATGATGTCTAAACTTGCTCTATCGTTTAATTTTGAAATTTTAGTTGACAATATTGTTGTTTCATCCAATAGAATCTAAATACATAATAGATTGACGAATTGGTTATTTCTACATACATGAATAGCGAGGTTACTGCTTATTGAATCTATTTATCATAGATTAGTTTTCTCTCTAAAATAACCATTCTCATTTCGTACTCTCCCTCGAAGCTTTCAGAAATTTTCAGCTTTAAGGTAATTAATTCTCGACCCAGTTCCATGAATTCATATAGAGTTTCATGGTAAAATCCTTATTATTGCAGACCCAAGTCATGAGCTTTACTAATATTTTTGGCTAATATGTGTCTTGGTCGTATTATTATCATTAAAATTTGTAATTTATTGCATTTTCTATAGAAAAAGAAGTAATTTGAATTTCTAAACTTATATTTTTCTTTTGGTTTATTCTTATTTTTGTAGGGACTATGTAAATATTTTTGTAGGGTGCAAAAGTTGCAGTGTATATAGGAGCTTGAATGTGGCGTTACCACATCATAGGTAGAAATATACTTTACATTGTTATATAATGCACCATATGAGCCTCTGTGATTATTTTCATTTCTTGGCTAAAGGAAAGCTCTTCTTTTAAGATTGTCTGCATCGATTAGCCTCAAAGCAATGGACACGCTAAGATTAATGCGTCCCCTACGAAACTTATCTGTGCAAAACTTACGGGTTTATTTATTTGACTACATGCTCTTAATCTATATTTGAAAAAATAAAATTGGTAGTAATAAAAATGTAACAATGTGGTTTGTATTCCTAAATTATATTATAAAACAAAAGCAGAGAGGATTTCATGTTGGAGGGGGAGAGAAATTTTATTGTACTTTTAAAAGATTTGAGAAACCAGTTTCAAAATATTAAATATTTAAGGGAACTAATATTAAAACTTGATATTATTTTTTGCTCATTTTTTAATTTCTAATTAGTATTTCATAGATGAAAGGATTCTAATTGTTCGATTCACATCCAACACTATACTTTATATCTAAAGCAGAATACTTTTATTTTCGTAACATGTTCAATATTTACAGAAAATCTTTTTAAAAACCGTGCTTTGCACGGATCTAAATACTAGTTGTGTGAAATTTAAAAAAATCATCGCTTAAGAGTGTTGTAAAAAAAACAAGTGAAGATATATAAGTACAAATTAGGGGAAGCCCTAAGGTATAAGGTATTTATGTGATAATAGCGTTGTTTTTCAACACAAAGTTGGCATGTCGCATTCAAGGTTTAACACCCAGGGGAGCACAACTGAGATGAGGTTATTATATGTTTATGTTTTTTTTAAAAGGTAGGTCATAGCATAAACAATTGGAATTTGAATTGTATACTTCTTTCACGCTGAAAAAGAAGGATTTGGATCCTCTCCACTACAAAAAAGTAGTGGAGAGACCACTACTTTTAATCTCAAGCATTGAAAAAAAGTAGTGGAGAGACCACTACTTTTAATCTCAAGCATTGATTATTTAGTAGGCGGTTATGATACAATCTAAATCTAACACTTACCATACCCCCGTGTATTGCACTCATTCCTAATTTGCACTAAAAGAAAAAATCATAACCATCAACTAGATACTCAATGGCTGTGATTATGTAGTGGTCCCTCCACTATTTTTTTTTTAGTGGAGAGGATCCGAATCCGAAAAAGAAAAATGCCTTGCGTTCTAAGAACCGTTTGGTATATTTGTTGTTGTGAACAAAATTATACTTATAGTATTAGTTACAGAAAATTAGTTACAAAATTATAATATTCCAATTGAAGTTACGTTTCTTCTAAATAAAGTATTAGCTTCAACTTGAAGTTGAATCACCATATCCATTGTATTAAGTATCAATCATGAATTCAGCTCAAAAGTAGTATCAATTATGAATTTTCTGTGATCAGTGCACAATGCCACGTCCAAATCTTGAATATTTATATATGCAGATGCTGCAGAAGCTCAAGGCGTGAATGAGACCGACACATCCTTTTTCTTTTTTAAACTATAGAAGGATAATATTCATGCTCATTTTCAAAGCTCATATAGAATTAAATAAAATTGTATACCAAACAAGGTGTTAGGGGATTTCAGCGTTAGCAAAACAAATGAGGGTATAAAAGTGCACGTTTTAAAAATGAGTGTTGCTACAGGTACCCAAAATATGGGACTAATAAGAGGGACAAGTAAGGTGTCCTCCTCCTATTACATAATGAGCTGGACATCATTAATGATGCCCAGCTCATTATGCAATAGGAGAGGGACACCTCACTTGTCCCACATGTTGGTCCCATATTTTGGTTCCTTAAGGAATTTTCCTTTAAAAATTTTAGAGTACATAATTGACACGAAAAACAAGGGAGGGTATATAAGTGCAAAGTATGGGAAACTATAGGGTATTTAAGTACAACTAGGCCTTGTATCTATTTAGATAAAATTTTAACATGATATGATGAATCTTTTGAAGGGGATCCACATAAATATTACTTTCCAAAGTTACATGATGCAATCTGACAACGTAATAGTGTCATTTCAGAATTCATGATGGAATCCAAACTAAATAATGTAAAAACTCAAATGTAAAGTGATAAGGTAGATGACCACTGTCATTTGATGTCATAAATGTTGGATATCATGTCCCCATGATATAATTTTGATGATAATAATTTATTCATAATGTGAATCACTATGTGTGTTATACAAATACACTAACATTTAAATGCAGTTTTCAACATAAAAAATGAACAAGTGCAAGATGAGTTCAAGGTATTATGAAGTAAAGAAGATGAAGAACAAATACATC